AGCATCATTTCAAAATCCCATTCTCTTCACCACCCGCAGCTTAAACCCAGCAGGACTTGAGGGAAAATGGCCATCTCTGGCTGTGTGGTAAAACTGATAAAAAAGGCATGAAAAAAAATTGAGACGGAAAATCTTTACTGTGTGACTGCTGCCCCGAGGCTCCATTTATTATGGATTGATAAAAGACGAGCACACGCACGCACAGCTGAGTGTACACAAACAACAAAGACTAAAGTTAAAAAATAAATAAAGGGAGAAGATGGTGGCTGAGTGCCCAACCTCCTACTTTAGATGTACATAAATGTAATGTTTGATTAAATGAAGGCTCAGCACCACAATGTGACAGACAACAGGTATGTCCTAAAATTAGCAAAAGACTTATCTTTTATGGTGAACTACTTTAAATATAAATAGCCCCGCTGAGTGTGAGAGGCAAGCCAGAGTCTATTTTAAGGCTGAGTGAACAGAATATGAACTCAGCATCAAATGTTTCTGCTTTACAGGAGTTGAGGGCACCTTCTATCCATCCATCCATATTTGTTATTTGGTAGTGAAGTGGTGATTTAAAGATCATTAATAAATATTCTATTAACAGGATGACTCAGCTCCCTCAAAAAGCCCATTAAGCCGACAGTTTGTTCACCACCCTTTTAAATTCTTTATTGGGTAGCAGAAGAAAACACACCTGTGAGATGTAAAAAAAATAAAGGTGTACGTAGCGTTAAAACCTCTGGCACACATGCATAGTGAGCTCCTAGGTGTAACGGTAATTCTAAATAAGGAAGAGCTCCATCCATTATCATCCCTTAATGACACTTAGCCAATACAGCTGTTAATGAGTGAGCGCTTCAGTAAAGGGCCAGACAGAGACCCAACACAGAATAAGACGTAAGGCAATAACTCCCAAGCGTTATTTGCTTTAGACCTCCTCTAACCCAGTAATTCTTCAGAGGGTTCAAGCATATAGCAATAAATGCAGGCGGACTACCTGGTCGAAGGAGGTCAAGTCAAAGAAAGTTTGTAATTAAACCCGTTATCAGCCCAGTGTGCTTTCAGGTCACGTTTGCATAAGGAAGCATGCAGCGGTTAACACACACATGACGCTTCGGTAGCTACAGAGATATACGGCCGGGCCGTGTAGTGGTATTGGGATTTTTCTAATTAGTTTACAACCTTGAGGTGGTAGAGACTGAAAATAACCAGGGAGAGCTCAAGAAGGCATAAATAAACTGTTCAATAACACCGTGTAGCTGAGACATCTCAGAAGGACCCCTACGTCTCCAGAGTACAAGAAAATTGAACAACACTTGTCTCATATTTAGCTGTACATCCATTTAGTGTAGCAGTTGTGTTATATGCAGCATTAATCTGAAAAACAAAGCCTTTGCCACCGGCACCTTCTAACTCCCATTAACCCCTACATTAACTAGAAAAACAACTTCATATTTGTTGTTTTAGCCAGCTTATAGTATGTCAGGACTCATTTGCCTCCACAGCATCAAGTAGGTAATTAGAGGTCTAATGTAAATGATGTGTAAAAATACACTCATATGGTCTAAATAGTAAAGGTGTGTACTGGCAAGAATCTAGCAACATGATATTTACTACAATACAGCAGAGACGTTCAAACTTCACCGCTGCAGTTGCTGCGTTGAAATTCACTAACATGTCAATTTGTAGTGTTTCCTTGCTTTTAATGAAATATCAACTTTTCAAGTATTGCAGGCTGCCCTGTTGTCATCCTTTTTTGTAAAGTATAAAAAAAAACATTGAGCTTTTGTGCTGCTTAGGTGCCATGCTGAGTAAATGCGTAAGCTATGCAACGTGTGTGGAGGCGTCATTCACACCAACTGGAATTGGTAAGAAAATTGTTTCCAAAAATGGCAAACGATTCCAAGGAATTGAAACTGTGGGAGCCGGTTCTCAACAAGAACCTTCAACAAGAACTGCTTTCGATTCCCAACTCTAGTAAAAACTGCTGCAAACTAGTGGTTGGAGTTTAAATTGCACCACCCAAAAGAAATACAGTAAATATTTTCATGTAAATTCTCAAAATAAATAAAAAAAATAAAAATCTATGCACTGCTTTCAAATATATAAAATCAGTAACACAACATAAAATATATCAGTGATCTCTCATAACCAAATAAGGAGACAATTATTTTATTTTTGCTCCCAACAACAGCTGACAGATTCTTGCATCAGTTACCCTTACAAAGTGATTTTGTGTAACACTAATGACTTGACAACTGGCGTTCAGCTCTGCCTCCAATCAGAAAATTGATGTGAGGCTTGAAAGTTTTTATTTTGCTCATACATAAATCAGAAAACTGAATGAGATTCCCATTTTCCCATAATTAAACTGGGCTACAAAATAAAGCAGGCACCTAGAAGTTATTGATACAATTTTTCTTTACCCTCCCACTGTCCTAATGGGTGTGACCCCACGAGGAAAGTTGACCATTGAGCAGGGTTGATGGTTTATCCCTTGGGTCCATGTGGCAGGGGTGAGGACTGAGCACCACCTCACCCCTGCCACCTGCCACGTGGACCTCAAGGGATAAACCATCAACCCTGCTCAATGGTCAACTTTCCTCACGGGGTCACCCATTAAGACAGTCGGAGGGTGAATCACAAAGCATTTTACGCCAGACATTACAAGTTCTTAAAAGTCATGGATCCGTGTTAAAGGTGCCATTTGTAAGAAGGATATCCTTTGGTCAAATGTAGTTACAGCAGTCCATTTTGTTAAGCAAGAATATCACTCACTCACTATCGTTCAGTGAGTTTCATGGCTGTTGCCAGTTACAGATCAACACCAGAAGATCCTAGATGACAAGCAAAGACAAGTCAAACACAGCAAGTTGATAAGTAGAAAAACACATTGTTATGTCTGGTGTTAGCACTTTGGGGTTGTTTTATAGTAGAGAGAACTTACTACACTGGTTACGGTAGTTTGTCTCCAGCATAGAGGAAGTGTGGTTGTGTGCCGTCTTGCTGTTAGCTTGCTGTTATAGTTCTGAACAACTCATTAAAGTAAGTAAAACGCCAACATTGACACATACTTTACTTCACAGGCACATTTCACTGTAATATCGAGTTGTTGGTAATTGGAAAAGTAGCTTGAGATATTTTTGAGCAAACTATTTTCTTCTAATTCATCGTTAGCATTGTTAGCTCAACATTAGCCTCTAGTCTACTTCACCCGATACTAGAGTAAAGCAAAAAGATGCTGTGGCTTCATAGAGATACAAGAAATAACTTCTGGGTTGCTCCTATTTATTGGCTTTGATTCTTTAAAACAACTCTGGAGCTTTCTGTTTATCAGTGTACAAATTACAAATGCAGGCATAGCTGTGTTAGCTTGCTTCATGTTCGTCAACGTCACAAACAGATTGTCAACAGTAACTATCTCCCGCTTTTAGTGGCCTAGTGGTAGAGCATTTACCCTGGGACTGGGAGATCGAGATTCGACTGCCTGTCGGATCATACCAAAGACTTTAACAATGGGACCCAATGCCTCCCTGCTTGACACTCAGCTTTAAGGGGTTGGACTGGGGGTTAAACCACTAAATAGTTAACATGCCTGGCCACCACTGCAGCTCACCGCTCCCCTCCATGGGTATGGGTCAAATGCAGAGATGAATTTCACCAATGAGTGATGATGACTGTGGGACTTTAACTTTTTTGAAAGATAAACTGACAACCCCCGAGCTGGCTTCCAACATAATTGAGACATTAGACCAGGGCTATTCATTTCCGGGCCTCGAGGGCCGATATCCAGCACATTTTAGTGATTTCTCTGATCCAACACACTTGATTCCGTGGTTGAATCAAGTGTGCAGCAGCTCATCAGTTTCTGCAGAAGCCTGCTAATCACCTGCTAATTGAAATCAGGTGTGTTGAAGCAGGGTTAAAACCAAAACGTGCTGGATACCGGCCCTTGATGCCCGGAATTGAATAGCCCTGCATTAGACTATTTTGTGATTATTTCACAGTAGAATCATTACAAATCAAATCAAATGGTTAACAGTTTGTTTCCAATAAAACCCATTTTCAAATGCACATTTTTTTAAAAGAAATCAGCGAAAATCATACACCTGTGTAGCTTTCAACACCTTACCCATAATTCTTACCGATCCAGGCTTTTAGTTTTATGAACATTCGTGATAAATTGTTCAACTTCAGTTAAACTAAGTTGGTGAATTAAAATCAAATTAAAGCCATCAAGTAGTGAAGTGATCCATGTAAAAGATGTGAAGAAAATATAAAAAAAGTTGAGTAGGACATGTTAATGTGGAGCATTAATCCAAACCAATTATCGGTGCCAAGGAAGCGGAGAACATGGAACAACACCTCTGTCTAAAGGGCCTCCTTCTTTGTACTTACAAAGCAATTAATTAGTCAGAACTTCTTTAATTCTTTAATTAGAAAGTCCTCCTTTGATTTGATGCATTAGCAGGCGACCCAACACTTACTCAAATTACTGTCCAATTATAGAACGCTCACACACGGACGCACGCGTACAGCTCCTCTATGTGCCCCCTCCCCGTGTGACACGTCTGTGTTTGTGTGGGAAGCCTGGAGGCATGCTGGAGCACTGATTGGCAGGCCATGTTGTCACGGTAACAGACATTCAGGCACGCACACACACACTCACACAATCTCAATGGAGCAGCTTCCTGCTGCAGCTGCCTAACCCCTAAGCAGGCCAGACAACCAGAGCCTCAGGACACGGCAAGGTAATGAAAAACAACAAAGACTGAAATAAGCTACTTTTTGTCCATAGCGCCACCCTATAATGGGATTACGCCACAGTTCCCATCAAACCCGTTAGATATTGGTGGAAGTAGAGGAAGGAAAGAGCCAGGTATGAAATCTAGCTAAGCTATTGTATCAAAGCTCTCCTGAGTGAACAGAGGCATTCTGAGATGATGAGCGTTTGAGTTCATAGCCTAATCCTGCAGCAGTGAGGACAACTGTGAGGCAGCCGTCAGTACCTGGAGGGAGGTTGGCTCGCTTCCTCTTCTTGCTGTTTTCAGCAGTGTTTTCCAACGGAGCACACTCGGTCACCAGTGATCCACTGGAACTGCTGAACTGGAGCGGGTCGTTGTTGGTAGCTGGATCAAAAGGCAGAGCGTTGAGACCTGCGACAAAAAACCCCACATCATTAGATGAAGAAAGCATGCTCTGGAGCACGGCAAAACACGGCAAAGGAAAGGCGAGAGAAAACATCCGCTGTAGATCAATGATATATTGTAGTTGTTGTGAGGTAGTTCAACAGTTAAAAACAGATTCTGGGAGCTTTACAAGAACCGTAATAATAACAGAAACTATATGAAGATTGCCCTAGAGTCCCAATAATTGGTTTGCTAGTTACCTTTCCTGTTTCCTGCTTAATGTGTCGGTGTTTTTCTGTCAGTTTTTGTTCATAATTCAGAGCAGGATCCTGGAGAGACTCGGTTTACATTCATGAAAAATTCATTATGCTTCTTTGTGCTCAGATTTGTTTTTTCCTCCATGGCACAACAGAACAGAACACAAGCCCCAGTTTACTGCAGCTCGATCAGAGGTCTAAGGAACCCTCATCACTTTGGATCCAACTTCAACACAACAGCAACATGATCATTATTTCATAGTAAAGGACTCTTTTTCTTATGTTGGTCTACTTTTGTGAAAAGATAGATAAATAAAGAAAAATAAACTTGCAAAAACAGTTCAGTTCTACACTCGAGTTTTTATGAAGATAACAAGCGGCTACAACAAGCGGCTACATTTTTTATCTCTGACACATGAAATCACTGCAAATGTGACAAAGATTTCTGTGCCAAATGTGTTTTCACTTTTCATGTCTTCAGTAAAGATTGATAAGTAGCTTAAGTCTGACTGACAAATGAGACGTGCAAGAAAAGATACACCAAAGATCAAACAGCACCTGAAAGAGAGAGCAGGAAGTTTCCCTTATGAATCTGCTGAGATGATCAGGTGGCTGTCAGTGTAGCATGTGGTTGAGTGTATAAAAGTCTTGTAATCTAATAGAAACACTCACTTTGTTCTATTTTTGTCCACACATGACAACAGAGTGTTAAAGACGAGGCAAAAGATATATGTAATTAAGTCAAAACAAGTGAAGAATAAGGGATTGTAATTAAATCTGTGGGTGGATGGTTTGCTGGGTTGAAATATTGGGCTGCAGAGTGGGTTTCAATGGATCTTCTGTCTGGGCTCACTCACACAGTCACACACATCTCTTCAGTCGATCTCTAGTGAGAATCCATCCGTCACACTTATTTACTGATGACTGTCAATCCTGGGGAGTGAAATAAATCCATTACTTTGGCGATGTAAAACAGTTTAAGCTCAGAGAGACAGCTCTCCATTCACAAAAGGCACGAGGAGTTTCCAGGAAGAGCAGCCATGGAAAGAGTGAAACATACTCAACAGCTGGGAGGGAAATACCACTCAGTCAGCTTTAGTGGCTCTGGCTGGATCGCAGCTCACAAAGGGCAACTCTATTTTACTCATAAAGGTGTGCATATCAAAGAGACTTATTTCTCCTTGAGCAATATTAAGGACATTGGAAGGGAGTCACAAAAGGCGACGAATTAAACATAAATAATAAAAAAGGCATTCCTTTGGTAATTTAAAAGAGGAGTCAGTTAAGGTCAAAGAATCTTGTATGATATTCAAGACCTCATCTGACTCTGAAGAACAGGGTTACAACTGCCTTGGTGGAAAGGAAATGAAACATTTTATCACACACCAGGAGCCGGATTCTCCGAGGCTGAACCATGAACAGCTGAAATGTAGGTGGTTTAGTAAAACAGCGTGCAAACAGAACTTTTAGAGAAAGTATTGTACATGGATGAGAGCGTAAACATTGATATTTACAGTGTCTTTACTGGGTAATCAACACTTTCTCTGCTGCTAAGTGAATATCTGTTAGCTGCTGAATGAGAGTGTTCAAATTTCAACATCTGGCCACAGGGAGGAGCGGTGTCAGAGATGATCACTCCCTGGGGGAGGAAGACAAGAAATACCAGGAGGCTGGGTGGAGAAGCAGGAAGCTGAACTGAAAGGCTGCTGAATAAATTAAAGTAATTCAACTGCTGAGAGGAGGAAAAAAAATCTTTAATGTACAAAAAACAAAACAAGCAAAATCATGAAGGTCTGTGACTTGATCTTATGAAAGCACATATTAATAACTAGAAATCCTAAAAAGGGCCAGTGGTGCCTAGGTGAAATAAGAATTTAACAAATGAGGAATTGGACCAAAGCATACACTGTAAATCTTCAAACAACCATAATGAAGAAGAAGATGATGAAGAAACAATCTTTTATACAGCGCCTCTCAAGATAAAAATCATGAGGTGCTTCACAAACACAAAGATTAAAATAAAAAAGATTTTAAATTATTAAAACAAAAAAAGAGGCAAAATAAAAGATCTATTTTTGTCTCAGACACACTCACAAACAAATGTCTTTCCTAATTATTAACTATTTTCTTTTTTTTTAACAAAACTGATTTGAATTTATCCGACTCCCAATTTGCATCGAGGTGTGGTCAAGACTCCTCATAGGGGTGGGCAATATGGGAAAAAAAATCCTATCACATTTATTTTTTCTAAATTACAACTGCAATTTTATCACAATTTTTTTTTTCCATTTTGACAATTCAGATGTTTTGGAAGTTATTAACCTGTAAAATACATCGATTTAAAGCATACCTCTTCACAGCTTTAGAGTCAACTATCCATGTCACAGATCCAGTGTGTAATAAACAAATAACATGAAATTAATTGTTTAGATTAGTTTATTATTTTGTTTGAAACCAATTGTCTCATTTCAAAAATGTTGGGAGCACATACCAAGTTCTGCTTAATGCAGGAAAAACTAACACCTTTTAAAAATTCCCATCCATCCATCCATCCATCCATCCATCCATCCATCCATCCATCCATCCATCCATCCATCCATCCATCCATCCATCCATCCATCCATCCATCCATCCATCCATCCATCCATCCATCCATCCATCCATCCATCCATCCATCCATCCATCCATCCATCCATCCATCCATCCATCCATCCATCCATCCATCCATCCATCCATCCATCCATCCATCCATCCATCCATCCATCCATCCATCCATCCATCCATCCATCCATCCATCCATCCATCCCAGTTAAGAGCTAGAGATGCATGTCTCAAATGTCACACAGACACTTATGTTTACTATACATTTATAATTAATATTTAATTAAACTCCATCTAGAGGTGGCTCATATCCTATCATCCACTATATTACCAGTAATTATTTCTTGTCTAGAGAAAAAAAAATCTATCATATGAAGCTAAATTCATGATGTATTTCAATCTACTACTGGATGATTACGCACACTGCCGTTTTGGACTTGCTGCTCCCCAAAGCTGCTTCCAGACTACGCGGGGGCGGGGTTTAGCCTGTTTCTCTACACAGATGGGATAAACAAAGCTCCGGCCGGCAGCCACAGTGAAAACATTCGCTAAAATACAAAAAAACGTCCCCAACAATAAAAGCCACAACACCAAATGCAAAGTTTTGAGCAGAGCATTGACCCAGATGTTCCCTGACCTAGCAGACGTGTGAGAATACAAGTAACGACCGCTTCAAGATGGAGCTAGCTAGCTGCTAGTGCTAGCCCTATAATCAATTATGGTGTGCTTTTTCAATGATTCATAAATGTTGAACTTCGCATCTTAATGTTTATGTCCACCGTCTGCAGGTGGTTCAGAATGCCTGTGCTCGGCTTCTGACCAAGTCCTCCAAACACGCCCACATCACCCCGCTTCTCCTCCAGCTTCACTGGCTGCCAGTCAACTTCAGGGTTCATTACAAGATCCTGGTTCTGGTCTATAGGGCCTTACATGGACAAGCACCATCTTACATTGGTGATCTTCTTAGTCCCTACACCCCCAGCAGGTCCCTGAGGTCCAGTGATCAAAGCCTACTGGTTGTGCAGCGCACCAGGCTAAAGACCAAAGGTGACAGATCATTTGCTACTGTGGCCCCCAGACTCTGGAACTCTCTCCCCCTGAGCCTGAGATCAGTGGACTCAGTGGTCTCCTTCAAAAAGCAGCTGAATACTCACTTGTTCAAGCTGGCTTTAGTGTGATCTTCATCACCACTCTCTCCTTATTCTACTCTTATTCCACCTTCTCAGGGATCCATTGATTTCCCTCTTTCTTATTAATTTTCTCGCTCTTTCCTTACATTTTTAATGAAAATTTGTAATATTTCTAATTTTAAACATATTTTAAAAATCTTTTTATACTTTAATACTTTTTTTGTGAAGCGCCTCATGATTTTTATCTTGAGAAGCGCTATATAACAGCTAGTTTTCTATCTTTTCTTAATGCATCGATTAGATTATTTTCCTTAGTTCTACCGAGCACCCCAGCTAAACAAATCCACACGCTCCCTAAAACATAGCCCCGATTGATTCTTTGGTGTGTTTGCCGTGCCAACAGAAGCAGACTAGCAAATGGCGTGACTCGGCTGAGGAAAAAAAAAAAAAGTAGTGTGTCACATGATGGCACATACGGGTGTGATAGAACGCAAATAGACGGCTCTACGATCTCCTAGCTTTGGTAGATCGTCAACACATTAAAATCCTTAACGATTTTATATGGTCAAATCGCATGGCCCTAATTCTGAATGCTTTTATACCCTGTCACTGTGCCCCAGGGCAGCTGTGGCTACACTGTAGCTCATCACCATCAGTGTGTGAATTTGTATGTGAATGATACACTGTGGTGTAAAGTGCTTTGGAGTCCTCTGACTCTGAAGGGCGTTATACAAATGCGGGTCATTTGTCATCATTTACCCACAGCCACAGCTACATAACATGGCACCTGTCAGCCATTGGCCAAGCAGATTCAAAATCAATGTGTTGCACAGTTTGAAGCTAAAGAGGGCACGACGCTGGCTATTTTAGGCAGAACTTAGATATTTTATACAAAAAGCAGCAGAATGCAAAAATAATGACTACACATTTCACAGCACGGTTAAACTCATGTATACAGTTTTTTAACAAAGAAAAAATAGGTTTTGGTGTGACTTGCTCTTTTTGTTTCCAGTAAGACCACAAAATCTCTAAATATAAC